AATCCTGATGCCCCTTTCTTCTTCATATAGTCCAGCTTCTTGGATTATTTGCTCAGCATACAGATTGAATAGGTATGGTGAAAGGATGCAACCCTGACTCACACCTTTCCTGACCTTAGCCCACGAAGTATCCCCTTGTTCTGTATGTATACAGTAAGCAAGACAACTTGCCCAAACAACTGCCTCTTGATCTGTGTACAGGTTCCTCATGAGCACAAGTTAGTGTTCTGGAATTCGCGTTCTTCACAATGTTATCCATAATTTGTTATGATCCACACAATCGAATGCCTTCACATAGTCAGTAAAACACAGGTAAACATCTTTCTGGCATTAACATCATAGAGGTAGGATTTACAACACACAGGAAAATCACATCAGATGACAAAATGGTGGACAATCACACAATACTAGGAATCATGGACTAGCCAAGTTGACACACATTTTGGGGGGACACAGTTCCATCCATGACAACAAGTAAGGAAGAAGGGGACTGGCTGTTGGGTCGGCAGCCATCAGGGTCTTCTGCAGATAACTTCTCAAATGTCAGAAGAAGGAAAAGCAGCAACTGGATGACTCAGCTGAGGGTTTTCCTCTATGAAGAGATTAAGGAAGTAGAAACTCAGTGAATCCCAAGGAAACATTGAAGATAGCATCATTTTCATCACATTTTGAAGATTTAGGGGATTATTTGGATCCTAGCTCCAAATTCCTCCTTTTATTAATTACTCCAGAATGAGATAAAATATTTGAGCAGATGCAAAAGATGCACCTTTTGATCTCATTAGTCAAATTTCATATTTTCGTCCCAGGGACCAGGCATTATTGTAATCATAGTTTAGTAGTCTATTGCAAAATTAGCTATCATCTGCCAAGTGCCAGTTGTTGACTAAGCACTACACACACACACACACACACACACACACACACACACATAATCTAATCAGTTGCAGTATCATTCAAAAAAGTAAGAGCTTTTGTCTGTCCATTACACTCTTTCTCTCTTTTCTAAAAAATTGATCAGCAGGTATAAGAGAGGAAGGGGTGGATGACATCACATGAAGTGGGAGGTTCAGCTGTCCTCCAGGACCTCAGCAAGAGAGTTTCTCCCAAGGTCTTCTGGCCTAGTACAGTGTCCCAGAAGAGCTCGGTGGAGAGAGCACAGGTCCTGTAGTAATGAGACCTGGTTTAACTCCTGGCTTTGCTACTTGTGACTGTATGATCTCTACCTTTCCTTTGTCTCTAGGAAACAAATGGGTAGTGCTATGGATCCAGATTTACCTGGGCTTACCATGACCCAGACCACAGCCCTTTCTCTCCTCAAGGTTCCTAAGGGAAATAAATGACAGGACAATGACTGGCAGAGTAATACGTGTTTATTAATTGGCTCTAAACCACAAATTGAAACAAACCAGAGCCTCATTTAACACCCTAGCACTGAGCTGGCATTGGCTGCCCACCTTGGGCTTTCTTGGGCTGGTACCCTTGCTTTGGGTTTAGCTGCTGGAAAAGAGAGGAGGAGAGTGCCACAAGAGGGATTCAGGTTGACTAGGGCTGCTGGGGATAGCCAAGGACCCTCTCTATTCTAGTCACTGCTAGGAAATCCATCTGAAGGAAAGGGAACATACTCTTGTGTGTTATCTTTTGAGCCCCTTTGAAAGTTCTGCCTCCTGAGAAACATAACCCAATTCTTGTCTTCAAGATTAAGCAAACTTTTTCTCCTTGGAGTGAGGGGAGGATAAAATTTCTTGCCTTTGACTGTGATTCATCCAACTAAGGTAGGGAGAGGTAAGGGTTGGAAAAGGGAGAGAAGCCTTGAGCTCCTTCCTGGAGGCTTTTTTGTTTGTCTGCCCTAAACACACACACACAAACGCACACACCCCTCCCTTTATCCTTAGTCCCTCACTGAAGTTGTTCTCCTCACAGCCTTCCAACTTCAGTTTCACAATTCCTCATATATTTAGCTCATAGCCTTCCTCTGAATAGGATCCTTCTTCTCTGAATATATTCCTTATTTCTTTCCCTTCATATTTTTGTTCCTTTCTCTAATTTCTCACTAAAGCCTTAAGATTTTTTTGTTTGTTTGTTCCTTACTCTATAAAATGAGGACAGTAATACCTATCTCATTGGTAGTTGTGAACAGTAGATGAAGCTAGACAAGCAGTGATGTGCTGGTAAAGTCTTTAACAGCCAGTTCTCTGGAACTGAGTTGATTTGTAGTCTTTGCCAATTTCTGTGGTATAAATACTCCTACCATGGCCTATTTCAGGCTACCAACATGACATCAACTGGCTCACCAAAATTCTGAAAATTGAACAATCGGCTCTCGTGAGCTGGTAAGAGCTAGCTTCACTATATCACTGCAAGTAGCCAGGTAAGCTAGCATACCCTAGCACAAGGTAGGCCCTTAAAAAGGTTAGTTTTTTCTCCTAGAAATTCTCATTGTAGGCTATAAGTCCTATAGAAAGTTCTCATTCCCAAGCCCCTCGTCCTGAAGCATAACCATTTGCAACACAAAAATCCATTTGCATTCCCATTGGTTCTAGAACCAGTTAGCCTGGGTGTTCTCAAGCCACAGAGAATTTGTAGGGAGAGAATTGTGCCACAATTGTATTCAGCACTGATGATCTAATTCTTAGTTTGTAAAGAGAGTATAGGTATCCCTCACTTTTCCAAAGTCTGCTTTATGCCACTTTGCTTTTATGAAAGACCTACATTAGTATCTGTTTTTGTTAACCAAAAGAAATCTGAAGAGGATTTTTGTTTTTACAAAAAAAGGCAAAAAGCAAAAATAGCGTTTCAGTGTTTGTTTTGCAGTGAGTCGTTATATAGGCAGCATGCACCCCAAGCAGCAAGAGTGGTGCCACAAGCTCCTTCCCCAGGAACTACACTCAGCATCTCAGCATCAAGCCACCATAGCTTTGAACTGTGTCTGTGAGCATCTGTGCCTTATTTCGATTTATTTTGTGCATCCGTTAGCAAGATGTATCCTAAGGTATCAGAAAAGCCTAAGAGAGCTCGTAAGGGTGTTACGCTTAGTGTAAAACTGGAGTAATTACGTGTTTCGATCATGGTGAACGAAATAAAGATGTTTTATTTTGTGCACGTGTTGAACTTGCCTGATCATACAGTTTTTTGTAGGCACTCAAAACATCCTGCGAACCTGCCCTAAAGCTATGTGCCCTTTCAAAATTGAAGTCATACTTTTCTGCAGTCATTGCATCGTTGTTAATCTCATGCAAGTGCTTCATGTTTAGTTCCTGGACGACTTCACCTTCACTTTATATAGGCTGTGTATTTATCATATCATTCCTGCTTTTACTATATGTTAGTGTTATTTTAGATTATATGTTATTTGGTATGATTTGGTAGGTTATTTTTTGGGTCTGAGAATGCTCAAAAAATATTCCCATGTAAATTAATGGTAATTGCTTCTTCGCTTTACACCATTTTGGCTTATGAAA